TCCCTCAATAACCCCCCTCCTCCCCCTACTCCCCCTATCCCTCCATAACCCCCTCCTCCCCCTATCCCTCCTCCCCCTATTCCTCCATACCCCCCCTCCTCCCCCGATCCCCCTCCCCCAATCCCTCCATCCCCCCTCCCCCTACACCCCCCCCCCCTCTTACCCTCTGATGCCGTCTCGAGCTGTAACGATCCAAGTTCCTTATTCCATTCAAAAGTAGATTCCCTTTGTCTCGTTTCTATTGTTGTGTCTCGTTTGTATTGTTCCGTCTCATTTCTATTGATCTGTCTCGTTTGCATTGTTCTGTCTCGTTTCTATTGTCTGTCTCGTTTCTATTGTTGTGTCTCATTTCTATTGTTGTGTCTCGTTTCTATTGTTCCGTCTCATTTCTATTGTTCTGTCTCGTTTGCATTGTTCTGTCTCGTTTCTATTGTCTGTCTCGTTTGTATTGTTCTGTCTCATTTCTATTGTTGTGTCTCGTTTCTATTGTTCTGTCTCATTTCTATTGTTCTGTCTCGTTTGCATTGTTCTGTCTCGTTTCTATTGTCTTTCTCGTTTCTATTGTTCTGTCTCATTTCTATTGTTGTGTCTCATTTGCATTCTTCTGTCTCGTTTCTATTGTCTGTCTCGTTTCTATTGTTCTGTCTCATTTCTATTATTCTGTATCGTTTGTATTGTTGTCTCGTTTGTATTGTTCTGTCTCGTTTGTATTGTCTGTCTCGTTTCTATTGTTTGTCTCGTTTGTATTCTGTCTCGTTTGTATTGTTCTGTCTCCTTTGTATTGTTCTGTCTCGTTTCTCTTGTTCTGTCTCCTTTGTATTGTTCTGTCTCGTCTGTATTGTTCTGTCTCGTTTCGATTGTTCCATCTCGTTTTGTTTTAATTGCTCTGTCTCGTTTCTTCCGTCTCGTGAGTATCGTCTGGGCGATAATGCTCGCATATCATCTCAGACAGACGTCTCTCTTCCTGTCTCCGTGTCACTGCGACCATTCATCATCAATCTCTCTCTCTCTCTCCACACTCCTCTGCACATTCTCCAGCGTTGTGTTTATTAAAAAACGTGGTGAGAAGTCGTCCTCACCGCTCCATCACAAAGGAATAGCAGCGATGGTCGACGCGTGTCAACAAGTAGCATTGGAAACGAATTTCTTTGAAACTGCTTTTCGTGTTTAGTTTTCATGTCCTTCCCCCGCACATACGATTCGTACGGTGCGAAAGACGTTCAACATATACACATACATAGACTCACACGGAGACCCATAGACTCACAGAGACCCATAGACTCGCACAGAGACCCATATACTCACACAGAGACCCATGGACTCGCACGGAGACCCATAGACTCACACGGAGACCCATAGACTCACACAGAGACCCATAGACTCGCACAGAGACCCATAGACTCACACGGAGACCCATAGACTCACACAGAGACCCATAGACTCGCACAGAGACACAGACTCACATAGAGATCCAGAGACTCACACAGAGACCCATAGACTCACACAGAGACACAGACTCACATAGAGATCCAGAGACTCACATGGAGACCCATAGACTCACACAGAGACCCATAGACTCGCACAGAGACCCATAGACTCACACAGAGACACATAGACTCACACAGAGACCCATAGACTCACACAGAGACACAGACTCACATAGAGATCCAGAGACTCATATAGAGACCCATAGACTCACACAGAGACCCATAGACTCGCACAGAGACCCATAGACTCACACAGAGACACATAGACTCACACAGAGACCCATAGACTCACACAGAGACACATAGTTTGTTGTCCTTCCCCCGGCACCTCCGATTCACACGGGTGACTATGTACCGTGCGAAAGAAGTTCTACATACATACATACACATGTATTCCCAATCCCTAACGATTAACACTCGTCATCTGAGACATCACAACTCTGGGCAGCACATTGTACACGTCTGTAAACATCGCGAATATTTATCAAGGACATAAGTCACATCCATTACACACGTATGTACATACTCTCTATATATAAATCAGCTCAAGCCTCCCGTAAATCACGTGGCTTCTGCGTGGCCAACCCCCCACTCTGAAAGCCTCCCGTAAACCACGTGACCTCAGTGTGTGGCCACCCCCACCACTTCTAAACTCCTCCCCTCTGCCCGCCCACTGTGAAAACAGACGCCGCACGTGCAGCAGCAGCAGCAGCGGAGTTGAGGCCCTGGTGTGGCCACTTCATCCTCCGCCCCGCTCCCGCCCGCCCACAGACACACAGCGCCGTGAACACATCTGGGATTGGATTTTGGCCTACACCAGAGGCAGCCCGCACGGCTCAAACCGAGCCCTTAATTCCTTTTTCGTGTTTGCATTGTCCTTGTCCTGTTCGCCTTTTGGTCTCTAGCGAAGCCATGGACGAGGCTGTCTCTGACGTTGGGCCAATCGGTTTCAAGGACCACGAGCAACAATACCGAAGGACCTCTTGTTCTTCGTCTTTCACCACGAGTCGGTTTGGTCAACGCCCGCCTGGGGCCCTGTAAACGGACGTGTGCCCCATTTGGCGCAGTATTTGAACCATCTTAATAACCTCCTCGATGTATTGCCGGTAAGCGTAAAGACTCGTTTGTTGTTTTTGTTGTTGATAATCTTGTAATTTATATGCATAAATCCCACCACCCCCCCCCCCCTTCGCACGTGAAGGGCTCACAAGTGATGTCACTACATATACCCTTCTATTTAAGGAATGAAGCAGGAGGACTTCTCCACAAATCTGGCTGTCGCCCAATGATGCCGGTTGTAACTACTGGCGAAACGTCGCACTTCCGATTGTAAACGTTGTGGCTTCGCTCTCCAATACACAACCGGTGCGCTGTACTAGTGACGAATTGGCACGTTCTGTTTACGTGACAACCCTTACTAATTGGCTGTATCGGGTGGTGGTGGGTGCAATGACACATTTATATATTTACGCGATCTAACCCAAAAAAAACTATACTATGGGTGATGCTGCTCGCGAAAGCCTACGTGTTAAACAGGAGTTGTGTTAAGATGTTCAATCGCCAAATAGAAACAGTTTTCAAGGAATCAAGTCTGCATTACTACACATTACTTGTGGTGAACATGCAAACACACATGCTCTGATAATAATATCTGGGCATTGTCCCTGGAACTGATTGGTCCACACCAGAGACAGCCTTCTTTAGGGCCTAGTCTCACCACCAGTGTCAGACCAGAAAACGCCAAAAGTTGAACAGTACAAAGACAATGCACTGTAAGAGCATTTATAGCTATTATCAGAGCATGGTTTGTTTGCATGTTCACCACAAGCACTCTGTGTGGTTAATGCAGTCACTTGATTCCTTGCAAAAGGTTTCAGTTTGGTGTTTGAACATTTTAACACCTCCAGTTTATTGCCAGAAAGGGTAAAACCTATGCTAATTTTTCATACTTTGATACGTGTTCTGCTCCACGGCAGATATGGGGGTGTGTTTGCACAGGAACTTCCTGATATGATGGTGTTGAGTTTGGTCACGTGAGCAGGAAGTTACAACATTAGACCTCCTTTGCCAGGATCAAAATATAATAATAGGGCTTTTCCCATTTTTCCTGCCAACAAAACTGAAACCTTTTACAAGGAATCACGTCTGCATTAACCACAATACTTGTGGTCAAAATGCAAACAAAAACACACACTATGATAATATATGTGGCATTGTCCTTGAAACTGATTGGTCCACACCAGGGACGGCTTTCTTCTGAGCCTCGACCCAATCGGTGCTAGACCAGAGGACGCCAAAAGGCGTACAGGAAGTTACAAGTTAAGGGTCTCTAAGTCACGAGACCAGGCGGGGGTGTCAGCCATTACACAGAGTACAAAATGGAGGCACAATTAGCATCTCTGTGATGACGGGTGCATCTGTTCATTGCGGGACTTTAAGAAGCATTGTCTGTAAGTTCGTTTATTTTCTTATAATGCTGGGAATGCTGTTATAATGCTGTAAATGCTTTTATGATGCTGTTAAATTGTTACGATGAATATGAGGCCTAGTTAACAACGAAGCCTGCCACTTGCATTATTGTGAATGTTATTTGTAGTTAGATAAGACGAACCAGACTTGTGCCCATGTAACTTTAATGCGTTTTTGAGAGCAAAGATGAAGAAGTATCTCATCTACAGTTCAGTGTTATGTGCAGCAGCGCTGTACATTTGGCCTGCAGTATGTTGATTACACAAAGTGACCTTATTGAACACAGTAGCTTACTATCTTGTTGTATGGCTATTCAGTGCTAATGTAGGTGCCTGGTCCATCCAGGACCTATTGTTCAGATTCATATTATCTAAGACAATGTTGTGATGCTGCTGTGTTCATTCATTGTATTGATATTGCAAGTATTAACAGATGCTGTATTTTGTGCTGTGTTTTTCCATCAGATTTACCTCGTTTCATTCATTAAATACTTTAGAGTCGGATGTTCACCCTGGCTCTGAAGGTTTATTGCATGCGAGGTTAACTACTCGGATGGTAGTGCAACGTAGCGCACAGCGAGGCCGAGGCAATACTGGAAAAAAGATATCCCGTGCTATAAGCTGCTCGCCCGAGCTAGAAATGCTCTGATACGTGCATTGTCATTGTACTCATCGCCTTTTTGCCATTTTCTGGTCTGGCACTGGTGGTGAGACGAGGTCATCAAGAAAGCTGCTGTCTCTGATGTAGGACAATCAGTGTCAAAGGCAATGCGTGTATTATCAGAGCATGTTTGCATGTTCAACACAGGTAATGTGTGGCTAATGCAGTAACTTTATTCCTTGCAAGTGGTTTCTATTTGGTGATTGAACATCTTAACACAACTACCCTTTTATTTAATAGCTGGCACACGAAAAAAAAGAGTTCCCACGTTGTGGCTGACCTTCGCTTCCATTGACTCAGGAGGTTCTACCCGGGTGGGTGGGGTCACAGGTGGGGTCACAGGTGGGGTCACGGGGGTGGGGTCACGTGGGTGGGTGGGTGTGGTCACAGAAACTCCTTGCAACGGCCTCGGTTCATCTTCTTGAGCTTCATGCGCCGATTCTGGAACCAGATCTTGACCTGGCGGTCGGTGAGACTGAGCAGGTGGCTGATCTCGAGTCGGCGCTCGCGCGTGAGGTACATGCTGAACAGGAACTCCTTCTCCAGCTCCAGCGTCTGGTGCTTGGTGTAGGGACAGCGCTTCTTGCGTGTGGAGCTCGCGTGGAGCCAACGGGACGACGGGTCGGCTTTGGGGTGGGTGGCGGAGAGAAGGAGACGCCGAGAGGGAGACACGGAGGGGGAGACGCGGAGAGGGAGAGACACGGAGCGGAAGACACAGAGGATGACGAGACATGGACGAGACACGGGGGACACAGAATAGAAAATCTGGGGCAGGGGGGTACACGGATACTAGATGAGAGTCGGGGCCACGATGGAAACATTGGGGAGGAGGAGGCGGAGACACGGGGGGCACGGGTAGAGACACGGAGAGAGTCGAGTGAGTGAGGGTCCAGCAACGCCGATGGGCGACTGTGACGATGTGAGTGAGTACGACTCGTTGCTTAATTCGTTTCATTTCAGCCGGAGTAGTCCGGGACAATGCTCCAGAAACTGATTGTGGCACGCCCCCGGTGCCGGATTATATCGTAGAAGCACAAGTATCTACGGGCACCGCACTTTCAAGGGCCCCGCGCTAAACGCTTTCAAGCTATCAATTCCGGTTTTAGTGATTCTGCACTTGCTCTTTTACTGTAGTACTATACTGCCTTCAACTTTTATGAATGAGGTTAGCGATTTGTCGTATTATCTGGCTGTATAGCAAGTGAAAAAATAAAATTACTTTACTATGCAAGTAAAAACTTTGTGTTTTAATATTTACGTGTTCTTTTTTTTATTATTTCGGGCCCCTTTATAACGTATGCTATAGGCCCCGTACGAGCTTAATCCGGTCCTGTGCGCCCCTAATCTCTCTACGCCTTAGTTTGTCCTCATGCTACGGCACTTATTTTGTTCTCATATGATTTAGAGAATAATAATCATAATAACAATATAGGATCGTTATCGGTAAGCATACCTTAGTACTCTAGTGGTAGTGCCTTACGCCGATAATCAATGCGGGCCGGAAGGCAGCAAAGCAACGATCCGGAAAACGCGGAGTGGGATTTTAGGCCCTGGAGTTGGGTGTTGTGAGAGTGTGTACATGTGTGTGTGTACGTGTGTGTGTGTACGCGTGTGTGTGTACGTGTAGTGTGTGCGTGTACGTGTGTGTGTGTACGTGTGTGTACGTGAGTGTACGTGTGTGTGTACGCGTGTGTATGTGTGTACGCGTGTGTGTACGCGTGTGTGTGTACGCGTGTGTGTACGTGTAGGGTGTGTGTACGTGTGTGTGTACGTGTGTGTACGCGTGTGTGTGTACGTGTAGTGTGTGTGTGTACGTGAGTGTGTACGTGTGTGTGTGTACGCGTGTGTGTGTGTACGTGTGTGTGTACGCGTGTGTGTACGCGTGTGTGTGTACGCGTGTGTGTACGTGTAGGGTGTGTGTACGTGTGTGTGTGTGTACGTGTGTGTACGCGTGTGTGTGTACGTGTAGTGTGTGTGTACGTGTGTGTGTGTGTGTACGTGAGTGTGTACGTGTGTGTGTGTACGCGTGTGTGTGTACGTGTGTGTGTACGTGTGTGTGTCGTCAGAGTAGGGGAGCGGTAGTGTAGCAGGTAGCGCTACGCTGCGCTACGAACCCGGTGACCCGAGTTCGATTCCCGCTCACGGCCAAAGCCAGTCACGATAATCTGAACCGGTCCTGGGCCTCCCCTGGTTACGTTGTGTAAACGTCGCCACTGGGGAGACAAAGGCGGCCGGGTGTGGTTGCTCGCCACCCACCCCCTCGTGTGCTGTGCCGGCCTTCATAAGTGCTCGCTAACAGCACTTGCCCCGACACTCTGTTAAGGCTACACGGGGGATCTTTGTCTTTCAGTGTAGGGGGGCGGCAGTGCAGCGTTTAGCGCGTTGCGCTACGATCAATAAAAATTGGCGAATATTTGAAACGATCCTGGGGAGACAAAGGCGGCCGGGCGTGGTGCTGGCCACCCACTCCCTATCATGCCGTGCCGACCTTAATAGGTGCTCGCGAACAGCACTTGCCCCAAGCGCCTGTTGCGGCTATACGGGGGACCTTGGTCTTGATTCGCGTGTGGCCTTTTGGGAGCGGTTGTGGGAAATATTACAATCTGTCCAGGGCCTCCCCTAGGTCGGCTCGGCCTCAAACGAGTTCCTGGTGCGGTGTGTAGTAGACATCGCCACTTGGGGAGACAAAGGCGGCCGGGCGTGGTGCTGGCCACCCACCCCCTCGTGTGCCGTGCCGGCCTTAATAGGTGCTGCTCGCGAACAGCACTTGCCCCAACAGTCTGATCGAGGCGATGCGTGCTGAGTAGTGACGCGTGTCGCGAGTAGCATCACCTATGAAGACGGGCGCCACAGTGGTGAGATGTTAACTACCTCGCCTGGTATACAGGAGGTCGTGGGTTCGATCCCGACCCTGACGCCTGCTGCTGTATATTTGGAGTTTGCGTGTCTCTCACTCTCATCATCATCATCACGGTGGCTAGGAGATGTTAACTACCTCGCCTGGTATACAGGAGGTCGTGGGTTCGATCCCGACCCTGACGCCTGCTGCTGTATATTTGGAGTTTGCGTGTCTCTCTCTCATCACGGTGGCTAGGAGATGTTAACTACCTCGCCTGGTATACAGGAGCTCGTGGGTTCGATCCCGACCCTGACGACGCCTGATTTATATATATCGAGTTTGCGGTGTCTCTCTCTCCGTGGTCGTGTGGATTTCTCTCCGGGTCCTCCGGTTTTCCCCCTCCACATTTAGGAACACCATCATCACGCGTTCAGAGTAATGTGTTTGCTGCTATCAATTTACACGTGATGATGATGATGAGCCAACTTCGCTGAGCTATCATTTGTGATGGCCAAGCCGCTTCGGAAAGAGAGCTACTTAGCAGGTCAGTGGTGCCTTGCCTGGTAATAATAAAAAATAGTATATGTCCAGCACCACGCCCGGCCGCCTTTGTCTTCTTTTTAGTGTGCATGTATATGTACGACGTGGTTATATGGGGGGGGGGGGGTCCTTGTCTTTTTGTCGATACGTGTGTTTGTTGTACGTATATATATGTGTGTGTATCTATATACCTAGCATGCATATACACATATCCGTACTGATACAAGCAAAACAAAGACCCACGTACAGCCTTGCCACACTGTTGGGGCAAGTGCTGTTAGCGAGCACCTATGAAGGCCGGAACGGCACACGAGGGGGTGGGTGGCCAGCACCACGCCCGACCGCCTTTGTCTCCCCAGTTGCGATGTTTTTACACAACAGGGGAGGCCCCGGACCGGCTCAGATATAATCGTCACTGGTGTTCGCCGTGAGCGGGAATCGAACTCTTGCCGCCAGGTTCGTAGCGCGCTGACCGCTACGCTATCGCTCCTCGCTACGCATGCACTCACACAGACACATATGCACTTGTGTGTATGCGTGTGTATTTGTGTGTATGCGGTGGTGTAGCGGTTAGCGCTACGCTGCGCTATGAACCTCGCGACCCGGGTTCGATTCCCGCTCACGGCCAACACCAGTGACGATTATCTGAACCGGTCCCGGGCCTCCCCTAGGTCGACTCAGCCTCAAATGAGTACCTGGTGCGGTGTGTAAACATCGCCACTAGGGAGACAAAGGCGGTCTTGCGTGGTTGCTGGCCACCCACCCCCTCGTGTACCGTTCCGGCCTTCATACGTGCTCGCTAACAGCACTTGCCCCTACAATCTGTTAAGGCTATTTGGGGGATCTTTTTATGCGTGTATACGTGTGTGCGTGTGTGTGGTCGGGGGGGAGAGCGGTGGTGTAGCGGTTAGCGACGCTAAGGAGATGCCCCCTAGGATCGGCCGAGGGCCTGGACCAGTTCTTGAAAATGAAATCTCGAATCGTCGCGCAGGACAACGTCGAAGACGACGCCCACGAGTCTGTGCGTCACAATAGTTCAGCTCGTTCGACGTTTCGTACATCCCGAACAAGGCCGTAATTATAATTTATATATTGGCGGGGGTGACACATCCCACCCAATATTTAAATATGCTCAAAATGTCCCCCCCCCCCAATCTATTGCTATGAAATAGATTTGTGTTTATATGATTGTGGTTATGGTTGTACTTTATTAATCCCTAATCTCTGCCATTACGTACAATGAAACAAGAAATGGTTAAAAAAATAAAAAAACAGAGCAATATAATACAATACAGTATTAGACAGTATTAGACAAGTCCATCCTGTGTTAGTGAATTTTTAAAATATTTTAGGCAGGAAATTATTTTTCAAATGTAGTTTTTTTTTTGGGGGGGGGGAGACCCCCAGACCCCCTGTAAGATTTGGTCCCCCCCCCCCTAATGTTGACTCCATGGCTACGGCCTTGCATCCGAAGATATTAAAAGCGTCAAAGATTTGAAAGGATACAGACGGCGGTGTAATGTTACATGAAAGTGTGTAAATACATATTTAAAATATGTCTTCTCTTTCGTTTGGGTTGCCTAACTCCTGGTCTAGGTGTGAACTAAATGGTTTCCCCAGCTGTGACTCGTGCGACCGATATTATTAGAGTTATTACGTTGGTGTTGTGCCATTGTATCGACAATATTCGCTGCCCAGTCGAGAATTTGATTACTCTGCAATGGCACGTGACGCACGGCTGTTATTGTTGATTGATGATCCGCTAATCGTCTGTTTGTACTCGAGACTTCAAGACGAGATCTGGATTGTTATTTATGTCACGATAAAATCACGTCACGATAATATGTGCTGCATTGTTTTATTGTTGTTGTTCTTGTATGATCTCTGCGATTTAATTAATATTATTTTCCGTTCATGGGATCAGCGATCGAAATTTGGAGCGACTTTGCATGAGCCGTGGTCAGTCTCCTGCTTTCGTTGCTTCCACCTCTGTGCTGTCGCTCTCAGTGTCGCTATCATCAGTGTCACTTAGTGTTGCTATCATCGGTGTCGCTATCATCAGTGTCGCTATCATCAGTGTCGCTATCATCAGTGTCGCTATCATCGGTGTCACTATCATCAGTGTCGCTATCATCGGTGTCGCTATCATCAGTGTCGCTATCAGTCTCGCTATCATCAGTGTCACTGAGTGTCGCTATCAGTGTCGCTATCATCAGTGTCACTTAGTGTCGCTATCATCAGTGTCGC